TATATGATGGTGGTTGGGGAAAGTGAGAACAAATTAGGGGAATCTACCAGATGAGTGGCAAGGGCTTAGAGTTACCCCGGGGCAGCTGATAACAGGGGCCTACAGAAGTGAATGTCTGCAGTAGGAGGCCCACCCAGGACAGGACGTGGGAAATAAATTATCATTGACTCCACACCTATGCCCAGGCCCATGAATACACCACTTCAGTTAACCTTCACAACATGCAAGGCCAGTATCCCTGTGTCACTTTACCTGAGAGGTTGGTTCAGTAATGGGCTGAGGTCACACTGCATGCAGTAGAGTAAAGCCTCCATTTGAGGCCTATCTCTGAAGGCTTCAGTATTTGCAAGTGGCCATAGGTCACCTACCTGGCTTTCAGAACACAGCATCCAGAGCCTCCTGGTGCATGAGATCAAACATCAGAAGAAGCCTAAACATTAACTTGAAGGGTAAGCTAGGGCCTCCTGCATGATCCCAGGCTGCACATGCCGCCTTGTCTAAGCACCACCATCAACTGAGCAAAGCCCAAGAGAAAAATCCTGGGAAGCATCCACGTCCACTGGCAAGAGCAATAGGCACACTGAGTCGCAGGTGACGAGCCCCCTAACTGCAGTAGCTAGGGATTCCCATGATTTCCATGGGAACACCGAAAAAGAGAGACTGGTTTGGATTGCAGATATTTAGCTCGTAGTGTTAGTCTCATATTACATATTAGTATCAGGAATTGGGCAATGTAATGCAGGATTCCAAGAGGGAAAGCCTTGAAAAAATTTATAATTTTAAGCCATATCTCTACACTGCAACACTTCTCACAATTTCTTCTCAGGTAAGAATGCACCATCTTTGAAAAAACTCTTCCTATCTAATAATAGACAAACATGGTAATTATCCATACCTCCGCTATGCTTCCCATTGCCTAATCAGGGCGATATGCAAATTATCTGCCAACAAAGATAGCGGCTGGCAGCCAGGCAGCTGAAGCGAACATGAGGCTTGCTTGCTCCAGTGATGGAGCTAGCCAAGGTTCCCGGCCTGCCGCAGCCGGGCTCTGAGCTCCAGTCTAAGCAACAATGTTGCAATTATAGAAGCTAAGCAAACCCCAGGTATCTGCTTTCAGCCAGCCGGCCTACGAGCTGGAGCCGCAACAAAGCTTCAATTACAGAAGGTAAATAAATCCCAGAATAAAAAAAGAAAAGAAAGAAAAAAGGCGTGACTGGGAGCTTCTGTTGCCGGTTTGGCCTGCCTGAAAACAGGCCTCAGCCCCTCATCCAGGCTGGCCAGGCACCCCAGTGGGGACCCCCACCCTAAAGAGGGTGGGAGCAGCCTGAAAACACCCATCAGCCCCTCACCCAGTCTGGCCAGGCACCCATTCTGGACCCCCACCCTGATCCGGGACACCATTCAGGGCAAACCAGGCGGCCCCCACCCGTGCAACAGGCCTCTATCCTATATAGAAGGGGTCCTCAAACTTTTTAAACAGGGGGCTAGTTCACTGTCCCTCAGACCATTGGAGGGCCGGAGTATAGTTTAAAAAGAACACTATGAACAAATTCCTATGCACACTGCACATATCTTATTTTGAAGCAAAAAGACAAAACGGGAACAATTACAATATTTGTATTTGCATGTGGCCCGCGGGCCGTAGTTTGAGGACCCCTGCTATATAGTAAGAGGGTAATATGCAAACTGACCCTAACAGCACATAGACTGGGAATGACTGGTCACTATGACACACACTGACCTCCAGGGGGCAGACGCTCAATGCAGGAGCTGCCCCCTGGTGGTCAGTGCGCTCCCACAGGGGGAGCTCTGCTCAGCCACAAGCCAGGCTGATGGCTGCCAGTACAGCGGTGGTGGTGGGAGCCTCTCCTGCCTCCTCAGCAGCGCTGAGGATGTCCGACTGCAGCTTAGGTCTGCTCCCCGCTGGCAAGTGGACATCCCCCGAGGGCTGCCAGGCTGCCAGAGGGATGTCTGATTGCCATCTTAGGCCCAATCCCCCCAGAGAGCAGGCCTCAGCCAGCACGTGGTCATCCCCCGAGGGGTCCCAGACTGAGAGAGGGCACTGGCCGGGCTGAGGGGACCGCCCACCCGAGTGCACAAACCTTTGTGCACCGGGCCTCTAGTATCTCCTAAGATGAAATGTTGGCCTATAAATGAAATATGTGTCTTTGGAGATTCCATCTATAGGAGCTATCTTCTTGTGGCCTCTTGGCCTCTTGGATCACACACTTCATACACAATGGAAGTAAAAAGCCCAAGGTAGATTGATCCAGGCACCCTAAACGCTTACCATCAAGAGAAACTACAACATCCATAGACTTCCTCTCTCAAGCCAGCTTAATCCATAGATAGCATGGGGTAAAGTAGGTTTACAGCTGAGTATGGGAAACAGAGACTTTATGGTTGTATGATTATTTATACATAATTGTACTATTTTCCACACACACAACTGTAAACCTACTTTTGCCCCACCCTGCAGAAGACTGGGTTAGCAACACAGCACTGTCTTCTCACAGTAACAAGAGGGTTAGTGAGAAAAGCACTAACCAGGGGAAGAACAACAGAGGACACCCAGGCCACACTGGGCTGACCGTACACATCTGTTCCTTTTGTTTGTGTGCACAGCATAACTCACCACAATGTCCTTTTTCTCAGACCCCTTTTTAAGTTTCTCCACAAAATCCATCAGATCAAGCTAGTTCATGATGCTTCAAGATAAACTCGTCAACGGAGAAATATGCAATATGTCTTACCATGGTGGAATCTTTGAAAATAAGACTAGGGTGCTGCTGGGAATGCAGACTGGTGCAGTCACTGTGAAAAACACTAAAGAGATTCCTCAAAAAATAAAAAGATAGAACTTTCATTTGACCTAGTGGTCCCATTTCTAGGAATATACCCTAAGAAACCAGAAACACCAACCAAAAAGAATACATGCCCACCTATGTTCAAAGCAGCACAAATTAAAGTAGCTAAGACTTGGAAAACAGCCCAAGTCCCCATGAGCAGATGAGTGGATAAAACAGCAGTGGTACATTTACACAGTGAAATACTATGCGGCTGTAAAAAAAGAAAGAACTCTTACCATTTGCAAAGCATGGATAGACCTGGAGAGTATTATGCTAAGCTAAACAAGCCAGAGAAAGACAGGTATTACATAATCTCACTCATATGTGGAATCTAATGAACAAAATAAACTGATGAGCAAAGTAGTCCTAGAGATATAGAAGCATGGAACAGATTGACAAAATTTAGAGGGAAGGTGGGGGTGTGGGTGTGGTGTGATGAACTGGGGAACTTGTATGCATGTATGCATAGCCCATGGACACAGAAAATGGAGTGGTGAAGGTAGAAGGCGGGATGGCAGGGGTGGGGTGGGTGGAGGGGTTCCACGGAGTGAAAAACAAAATAGAAAATAAAGGGGACATCTCTAATACAACAATAAATATGAATCAATAAATAAAAAGTACGACTAGGAAAAAAACAAATCAACAAAACCAGAGCATTGACACACAGCCTAAAGACAATCTGTGTTCTGCAAACACACCAATGATTTATATGACTGAGCTAATATGACATAAAAGAAAATGAAAATATATTGAAGATTATAATTGTAGTGAGCAACATTCCTTGCATTTGCTGCACTAGATAAGTTGTGTATACATGTAAATTGTCTGTTCTCTTAATACAAAATGAGACCAAAATGTGTCAACGTACTATTCACAGAACCTAAAACATCCACATGAATCTCTTTTGTCCTGTACAATTTCACTGTGCCTGCGCCCTAGTCTCCAAGAATGTCCTTGTCTTTCTCTAAGTAGTCTCCTCGTCACTTTTGCCTGGCTTGCACCCAAGCATGGCAGACAGAGAATCCTAGAGGCCCAAAGTTCTACAGTGGCTGTTTGCAAAGGGGGAGGAGACTGCAGTAACTGCCACACTGGATACACTTTATGAGAGAAGGAGAAGGGAAAATATCGTGAAGGCCTCTCACATATGATAGAGCAGGATGGCAGGATGCCTACATGGCCCAAGGAACCAGAGGGAGCAAATTACGGGCAGAAGAAGTGCAACCAAAGGCTGGAAGAGGAAAGGTTTGCAGTCAGCTGACTCCTAGCTCTTTGGTCGTTGCTTGTCATGGACAGAGTCCATTGGGGGAAGCATCAGACACTACAAAGAAGACCCTGCTGTTGGATGTGGACAGGAAGTAACATCCAGGAGCGTTAGCATGCAAGATCAAAGCTTGTCTACAAACAATGCCGACAATGAAGGAGGAGAAAAAATGAGAGTGGTAGGAGATGCAAGTCAACCTGGGCTGGCCCAGCCCAACCCAGAGAAGGTAGGATTCAAGGAGAAGAAACTACAAGAGAAGAGCCTTGGACCACATCATTCTGCACAAAATACACTCAAGAATCTTCATTTTACTGTTCAACCAACAGACAGAAAGAGCTCCTTAATCCCTTCCTTTCCTCCTCAAAAGCCACAGACAATTCACTTATGAGATGGACTGGTATGATTTTAGAACAACTGTAAGTGTGCAACCTAGATGTCCCTTTCCATTCTCTCTAAGGATATTAGCAATATATAAAATGATAAACATGTTATCCAATATAATATGGAGAATATAAGTAACTAGTAGTTAATTATATTCATGAATGTCTGTAACAAACATTGAGATTATTTCCCTGACATAAGAGCCTGGGGAACGTGAGACTCTCACGGCTGTATTGTCATCTAGCCCATGTGTCCTGAGAGCTCAGCCATTTAGGTGTTGGTTTAGCTCCCCTACAGCTCCCTCTATCCAATCCTGTCTTCTTGGGAACCTGACGTCCCGATTGGCTCTCTCATCCCTTTAAACTGCCTGCTTTGTGACATCATTCTCCCACCAAACCTACCACCTCCTGGTAGAATCTTGGGGTGCCCATGGAGTTGTCTGTCAATAAATTTGGATCATCGCAACTGACCAGTGACCAGTAACTGGTGACCGGTGACCAGTGGCCAGTATGACCAGTGACCTTCGTACTGGACACATGTGCTCTTTGGCTTCAGCCACTGAGGTATCTTCATTCCTTGCATCTACAGTTGATATTTGCTCTTCTTCTCTGACCATGTCAGGTAAGGAAAGAACCCGTTTGAAGTTTTTCATTGGATTGTTGTTTGTACCTAAATTTAGCAACAGTGTCAAAAGAGCATAGAGTAAGTTGGGGAAATATGATATAGAAGTCTGCAGACCTAATTTCAGTTTAGATTTTGACATCTACAAGCAATGTGACTTTGGACAAGTCATTGAATCTCTCACCAAAAATGATTTTTTCCTCATCTGCTACATTCGGACGTTAGATTGGTTGTGGACTCTAATCCCTTCCTTTTCTAATATGGAGTTTTAAAGAACACTCCTGTTGACAATGAAATCAAGACTTCTTGACAGTGTTTCAACAGCAAAACCTAAGTCATGTAGAAAACTAGCAATATATATAGTCTCATGTGTAAAGATCTCCAACCACCAAGGTTTCAACTTTAGTATTTTAAATTGAGTGCTGTTCCAAAAGTAATACTCATGTGGTTTTGGAGTTTTCTATCTAAAATAGGATAACAGAGGAAATAGGGAGAGAGGATGGAGAGTACTGGGCTATAGGAACGCAAGTATTTCAATGTAAAAAAATTAGAACTGGTTTCGTCAGCACAGGCCAACAGGAACCAAGAGGGAGGGAAAAACACAAGCAGGAAGGAGGGGAAAGTATAAAAATGAACAAGGAGAACGTGAAAGAGCTCATGAGAACAAAAAGAGTAGTTTGCAATGGAATATTGGAGGGAACCAAAGATTTTAAATGAAAGCAGAAAGAGCATAGGGTGAAATCAGCTCGGAGTAGGGCAAAGTAATGTGGATCTCAGCAAATGCTTCCATTGATAGAATAGGAAAGAAAGTAAGGCTGGAGTTGGGTACCACTAGCCAAAGCAGTGTAGCAAAACAATCCTATTCAGTTGCCTGTTTTCTTATTGCCTCTCTGAACACAGATGGCATGTGACAGTTTGCAATATCAACATTTAAAAATGTATTTCAGAAATGATGTTTCTTATATACAAGAAACTAAGAAAGGTGATTTTCTAGGGCCGTGGTCGGCAAACTGCGGCTGGCGAGCCACATGCGGCTCCTTGGCCCCTTGAGTGTGGCTCTTCCTAAGCCTTAGGAGTACCCTAATTAAGTTAATAACAAGGTACCTACCTGCATAGTTTAAGTTTAAAAAAGGTGGCTCTCAAAAGAAATTTCAATCGTGCTACTGTTGATATTTGGATCTGTTGACTAATGAGTTTGCCGACCACTGATTTAGGGCATTGGAAATAACAGAATTTTCAGTGTTTCAATTCATTCTGATTTTTAAACTATGACAATGTTTTGTCTAGTAAAATAAATAATTTAAGACCTAAAAGAGAGATATGTCCTAAATAGAATCAGAAAGAATACACCCTTTGTGTGATTAGTATGTTCGAAGTCAAAGATGCCCTTCATCTTCAAAGTTATTTTCTTCCTAACGCAGAGAGCACGCTGATACACAGCCACTGCCTCATTTCAGGTCATAGCTACTTATGAAAAATAAGAGAGCATCAAGCCCCGCTTCTCTAATTTCATATTTCTCAAAAAACAATTTTTTAGATTCTCTTGGGGATTCCTATATTAATGTGTTTTTTTTCATTGAAATCTATTGATGATGGTTATAAGACTTTGGGTATGACATCCTTTCCTGGATGTTGAAGATGATGACAGTCTAGGTTTTAAGATAAATATAAAAACCTTCATGGTACATTTCAACTGTTCTCTTCTCTTTGTGATTAGGTTATATTAATTGAAATACACATATCTAATACACTAAGTATTTATTACTTACTGGGGAATAGTCAGAGAAACACAAATGATTACAATAATGGAATTCCTTTACATTTACTTTGCTCTCCGCTTTAAACTAGTATTTACTGAACTATTGGTCTGCATTTATAGGAGGCACATATGCATCAGCAGTGATTGCAGTGTGATGCTTGTTATGCATTTTCTACTGATATATCTCCTCTGTCCATATGTACTGGCTAAGAACTTACTCAAAATCACTTATTCTGGGTTGTTTCTGGTTAACAGTATTCACTAAAATAGAATAGGCAATATTTACCTTTAGGATACTGATGTATGAAACAGAACTTCATTTTGTAGTAAATTTATTAGGCTTTGACGTTTGCCACGTGCCTCACTTCTGGAGAAACTCACTGTCAGATAGCCATTTTGAGGTAGGACCAGAAATCAGGCATGAAGACAGTAAGAAAGACGCTTTAAGTTTACCAAGTGCATTGAGCTTCTATGAGAATTATAGGAAGAGCATGTGAAGGGCACAGGCAAAATGAGACGCTGAAGATTGTTATGACAATAGATGTGCTGTCTTCCCATGGACAAACAAACATCTGCATCAGAAGTTCTATTGCTCTTACATGTTGGCAGTGTAATGCGCAGAGTTCTGGCAAGGAAGTGGGGATGTTTAGGTTATGGAAGCAGGTACTAATATTAACATAGGGAGAGAACCGAACCGTAGTTTCCTCACTCATGAAATGAGAATGCTAGAACAGGGATTCTCCAAGGACTTCTGGTTCTAAAATGCTTTAATTCTAGGAAAGAGCATACAAATCAATACTACTGTAGGTTCAAGAGCGAGATAGGTCAGGGAGTGGTTGCTTCTAGCCGAGAGAACAATGTATGAACCACCCACTTGGGTCTTGTGTACATTTTCGCTCAAGTTTTTATAGTATATATAAAAGCCTAAGCGACTGAATGACCAAACGACTGAATGACCAGTTGACTGGTCGCTATGACACGCACTGACCACCAGGGGCAAACGCTCAACGCAGGAGCTGCCCCCTGGTGGTCAGTGTGCTCCCACAGTGGGAGCACCGCTCAGCTGACTGATGGGCACCAGAAACCTGGGCTCATGGCTGGAGCAGCTGCAGTGGAAGGAGCCTCTCCCACCTCTGCGGCAGTGCTACCACTACCAAGCTGGAGCTGCTCAGCGCCTGGCCCTGGCTCGGGCTCCTCCCCGGTCCACCTGCTGCTTCGTGCACTACTGCATCCCTCAGGCCAAAACCAGCAATCCGATATCCCCCCAGGGGCCCCGGATTGTGAGAAGGCACAGGCACGCTGAGGGACCCCACCAGTACATGATATACATATATTTTCTTGACTTCAGAGAGGAAGGGGGAGGGAGAGAGAGAGAGAGAAACATCAATGATGAGAGAGAATCATTGATTGGCTGCCTTCTGCAGGCCCCTTACTGGGGAATTGAGCCCGCGACCTGGGCTTGTGCCCTTGACTGCAATTGAACCTGGACTCGCAGGCCAATGCTCTATCCAACTGAACCAAAACAGCTAGGGCCGAAAGCAACAATGCTGTTGCTAATGCTGTTTTTCACACATATTGTTTATCAATCTCTTTGATTTTTTTTCATCACCCTCTTGTTCCCTACAGAGAATTCCAAGAATCCACCTTTCCTTGGAATTTCCACCTCTCTGCAACGCTCTCTTCCTGTGGAGAGCAATGCAGGAAGTGTCTGCAATTTCTACAATGTCTCTGCTCCAGCCAACAGTTCCCCATGGCTCCTGCCATCAGCCTCTGGCACCTCTTTCCAACCTCTCATGGGGGGTGCCTACTTTTACCAACATTCTAGCACAACCATGTTGTCTGGAATTCCAGGCCAGAGCCCTATCTCCATTCCAGCTGCTTCCAATCCTAACGTTTTTGAGTGGGCTCTTACAGGAGACACTGAAAAGAAGTCATCATCACTCAGAAACTTCACTGTGACTGTCACTGACCAGGACACAACTGTCACCTCTATGTCTCTGGCGTCTCAGTGTGATAAACCCTCAGATGCCTATAATATGGCTCCTCAGTATCCATCACTTTCTGTCAACCTTGTTCAGGGGGCACCAATTCAGGGACAGAGCCTGTCACATCCCTACCAGGTGGGAAATCATGTGTGTTACTACAATCAAGGCACAATGGACCCTCTGCTCTCTGAAGAGGGTGGTCCCTACCTGCAGTCCTATGGCTCTGTGTCTTACACAGAGAGCAGGGCCTCCGCCCCTGACACAGGGATGGTCATGGTGCTAAAGGAGGCTCAGTCCACAAATATGATACCACCAGCCTCCACCTCTGGAATCTGCTACTCTGTGCCTCCTCATCCCATCACAAAGACAGGTTTTCAAGGTGAGTCCAAACAGTCACAAAGAAGAAGAATAAGGTCAGCATTCAAAACTAGGGTCAATCTGCAGCTGGGAAGTGGTGAGTCCTCAGACAGGTAGAATGTAAGTCCTGTGACTTTCACCACTACCACCCTCAGTCAATGCCCTCCATTGCCAGACTCTTCATGAGGACACCTGACAGAGGCGGGAAGGTGGGAAACTAACAGCCATGGATGCTACATGTAGGAGAACTCCCAGAGCATACCAAGGGACACCACACTTTCCACTGCCCTGCATGATGAGTCCTCCAGTACTACAATGCGGCAATAAACTCCCTTGGTTTATTGTTTTAGTCTCTTTCTAAGGCCTTTCAGTACATTATTGTGATAGTGCCCATTTAACTTTCCATCACTTGCTTAGTTGACACCTGGATTTAGGATCACGTGTTCCAACATCTTGTCCAAAGCAAACAGGCTATTATCTCCCCTTGCTTATAGACTTCGTCAGGAAGAGTTCCATTCCCTGTCTTAGTCCTTGGTGTGAAGTGTTTTCATTCACTCAGGAAAGTAGAGAGAATTACAAGGGTTCCATATGAGAATGGGAAAGATTTTTTAAAAATCACTTTTATTTTTTATTTGACTTATAACAACCCTGTGAAATGCAAAGAGTATCCTTTAAAAAAAATGACATCAAATGGTCACCATTAAGAACCAGAACAGTTGCCTTTGATCTCCTAGCACACGGTGCTGTTCATGATGCTGCAAAAGAGCTTGTAGGAATGCCTTTCCCACTGTTGGAAGGCACATGATTGTTGCAATGGTGGTGCTGAGGGAGCATCTTATTACCAGGGACTGACCGACTTCTCCTTGATTCCATTGTAGTGATGGAGACTTCCCTGGCATTGCAACTTCCAGGCCAAATATTTTACTTACCACCTACTCAAGAATTCCTCAAGTCCGGCAGTAACAGACATATCCAGGTACTTGAGAGTTATCCACCACCGCAGAGTGGGGACATTTCAATGGCATCCCTAGTCCAGAGTCCTAGGAATCTCCTGGCACTGCCTCCAGCTCCAAGCCAGGAACAGAAAGACAGTAAGAATGTGGAGAATATTAAAGCCAAGCTTTCCAAGCACGTGAATGGGTACCAGATCCCAACAGAATATGAAGCTTCTCCACTGCTCCCTTTAGAAGTCCCTGACATTCCACAGGTGCTGGCCTGCACTGATCCCCTTGGCCAAGAGGAGCAGCCTGGTTGTGACAACTCTGGTTTGGCAAAGAATAGCCTGAGTCTTAAGAACCAAGGGACACTTGAAAATGGGACTGAGTCTAATGACAGTTTTGCAGACATCGACACACTGGTGGAGGGTATTCACCTTCCACAGGTCTTCACTTCCTTGGATGACCCTGATCAGCCCCAAGGACCCAAGGCGATCAAAACCAAAGACACCAGGGGCCTCAAGTTGCACGAAGTGCAGAAAAAGTCAAGTGCCAGAAAGACTCGCTCTGATCAAGGCAGGAAGATCAAACACAAAGCCTCTGAGTCTACCAGTGATGCTCCCAAGGCCAAGATCAAGCCCGAGAGCCCAGATTGTGTGTTTGTGGGAGAACTGGTTCCTTGCAATGCTGCAGCTGGTGGCAGGGCTCCTTCGAACATGGCCAAGCATTCTAACAGCAAACCTCAGAAAGCTGCAGCCAGCAGGACCAGCAATACTAAGAGCCATGGGCAGCAAAACACCAAAAGAAACAAGGAAAACTACTCCAAGAGAGCTGAGGAGAGGAAGCAGTCAGGGAACAAAGTCAAGGCAGAGGAGAAGCCAGCCATTCCCAAGATGAAGAGAAAGAAAAGTCATCCTGAGCTGCCACAAGAGGCCATCAAAAAGCCTCGCAGCAGCCTCGGTATGCACATGCTGGAGTCTGTGCAGGTTTTCCATGCACTGGGCAAGAAGAGGGATGAGACAGCTGACCTGTCTTCCTCGCGGGCCCTGGGAAACTCAAGCAACCCCAAAGGCCCCCAGCCACGCCCAGCTACCAAACCATGGCTGGTTACGCCCCGCGAGGGCAAAGGTCCTGGGAAAACTCAAGTCAATCCCCAAAAACCATATGCAAGTGCTCACAAAGGGGCTCCACCTCCATCCCAGGACAAGCTGCCTTCTCCCGGGAAGGTCAAGCTGGTGCCATTGGTTTTTCCGACCGTGGACAAGCCTCAAGTTCGACCTGTTCCTCGCAGGCCACAGTCTCTGGCATCACGTCGGCCTGCTGTGACCAACCCTGCCAAGCCTGCTGCAGTCAATGCATCCCTGCCAAATCCTGTATCTTTGACAGGTCCTGTCAAATCAGCTCAGCCAATATCGTCCAACTCAGCTGGACCAGGTCTGAACAACCGCGACTGCCCTAGTGTCCCTCAGCCTCCTGCTTCTAGGCCTGGGCCCTACAAAACCTCATCTTGTGCTTCTTTCCAGCGGGAGCCTGTTCACTCCGCTGTGAGCCAGCCCCGGACTCCGCTCAAGCCTCACAACCACTATCTACTCCAGGATTTCGCCCTCCAACCAATTCCATGGAGGAAATCTGAGCTTCGGGGGCCAGTCATGTCAACACCCATCACAAATGAGCAGAGGCCAGATCGAGAGGCCATGAAGAGGAAGGCTCAACTAGAGCGTGAGAATGCTGCCAAATTGGGGGGAATGCAGCATTTCATTGAGAGGGAAAAAGAAATGGACATTTCTCTGTACTATGGCTATGTGATGTAGGAGATGCTGGGAGTACTGGTGCATTTGGGTACCTGCTGTTTTTCCATTGATAGATAGATAGATAGATAGATAGACCATAGAGAGATAGATAGATCATAGCTAGGTAGATAGACAGATAGACAGTTAGATAGATAGAAAGAAAGAAAGAAAGAAATTTCTCAATCTTGGTATATTTTATAACAATAAAATTGAATAAGTATTATAAATTAGCATTTAATAATAAAGAAGTATTTTGTGTTTTGAGATGCTGTTAACTGTGCTCTTTCTTTGGTGGGTATGAGGATCAAAGGCTGCTTGATAAGGAAAGAATTGGAAGTTGGATCGGCGAATGAGGGTCAAGGGGTAAGCACTGTGGGAAGAAAGGAACTTGGGCCATGGCCAGAAAGGCCAAAAACCGGGAGAGGTTATGGATTTATAAAGAGAAGCAGGAGGTGGGTATATGGCAGAAGTGAGAAGCAGGATGTGAGATTAGTGTGAAAAGAGGAAAATCTGAATAGAGTTGAGAGGGCAGAAGCTGTGTAGGTTGACCAGGAGAAATGTCAAAAGTCTCTCGTGGAAGTTGGACTTATGTCTCATGATATGTATTTTAGAAAAAGGATTCAGGACACATTTCCTAAAGGTTTGAGTGCCTTATCTATAATAATTTAAGGGTAATTTGCTAATTAGCTGGACATATTCTGGACGTCATTCCGGACGTCCTTCCTGACGATGCCGGGGCTGGAGGGAAGCCAGCCTGGGTCTCGGGTGCCTGCGGGCAGTCCAAGGGAAGCCAGGTCGGTCCCAGGTGCCTGCTGGTGACTGGAGGGAAACCTGGGTCCTGGGTGCTAGAGGAAAGCTGGTACCAGCAGCCAGGGGAAGGAAGGCCTATTCTTGCACAAATTTCATGCATTGGCCTCTAGTACATATATAATTGTAGCTGGGGAAAGTGAGTACAAGTCAGGGGAATCTACCTGGTGAGTGGCAAGGGCTTACAGTTATCCTGGGGGCAGCTGATAATAGGGGCCTAGCCTAGTGAACCTATGCAGTATGAGGCCCACTCAGGACAGGGTGTGGGATATAAATTATAATTTACTCAACCCCTAATGCCCAGGCCCACTAATACACCACTTCAGTTAATCTTCACAACATCCAAGGCCAGTATCCCTGTGTCACTTTACTCGTGAGGTTTAGCAATGGGCTGAGGTCACATTGCATGTGGTGGAGTAAAGCCTCAATTTGAGGCCTGTCTCAGTTCTGTCTTCATTATTTGTAGGTGCCCAACCTGGCTTTCAGAGCACAGCATCCAGAATTTAGTGTTGCACGAGGTCAAACATCTGGAGAAGCCTAAATATTAACTTGAAGGGCTAGCCAGGGCCTCCTGCATGATCCCCATTTGCTGCTGTCTAAACACTGCCATCAACTGAAGCCAAAGGGAAAATCTGTTGGATGCCTCCATACACACTGGCCAGAGCAATAGACACACATGTGCGGGAGGCATTGAACAACCTTAGGACCTAGGTGCCAGTTCAAAGGGGTTTCCGAGGAGGCCTCCCAGTGTAGCTCCGGTTTGCAATAGGGATAAGTATATGTTAATTCAGTAATCAGTCCAAGTTCTTCATTCTGTTCTTGGATTTTGTTGAAAATATCTAAAGGGGCAAAAACTTTCTCCAGGACCAAGTCTGTTTTCAAAAACTCTTTTTCAAAGCAACTTTGAAAGCAATGAAACATGCCCCAGGAGTCCTCTGTCCAACTGGGAGACAGTCTTTCCACCTTTTGGGGATGTGGTTTCCGCCCTTCCTCTTGGCCAATGAACCAGAAAAGATGTGTCTCTGGCCCCAGCTTCCATGGTGCCTTTGGCCCATGTGGGCTCCTGATATGGTTCACCCAATGCCAAGAATCTCCACCAGAAACTCCTACACGGCAACCTATGCAGCTCCACCCCACCCTGCCTCTGAAAATTAAATTTCTTAATAGAGAGGACAGTGATTCAGAGCCAGTTCCAGAAGCTGTATCTGAGGTATCTGTTTGTGGTTTAGCCCAGTTAAGATTGGGCTCCGTTTTAGATTGCTCTCTTGACAATATCAACTCCATTTTGCTTTTACTTTCACAAGCCACTCTGAAGAATCATTCAGCATTTTTATTAACTAAACATGCACCTACCATACAACCCAATAATTCTACTCCTGGCTGTTTATTCCAGAGAAATGACAAGGTATATTGACACATACCTAATAGCAAAAACCTGAATACAATAGAGATGGTTAAACAAACTGTGGCATAGCCATACTATTACTCAATAATAAAAAGGAAGTTCTATTGACAGATGCAACAACCTGGATGAATCTCCAAAGCATTATGCTGAGTGAAAAAAGCTGATCCCTAAAAGTTACATACTTGATGGCTCCATTTTTATAATATTCTTGAAATGACAAAATTATAAAAATGAGAACACATGAGTGGTTGCCAGAAGTTATTGAGGGTGTTGGAGTGGGTGGGAAAGTGATTATAAAATGGCAACATGAGGGAGGGATCCTTGTGGTGATGGAAATGTTCTTGATCTTGACTGTATCAGTGTCAATATCTTGGTTGTGATATTATATTACAGTTTTGGGAAATGTTGCCATAGGTGGAAGCTATCTCAAGGGTATAAGGCATATCTCTGTACTATTTCTTATATTAGCATGAAAATCCATAATCATTTCAATATAAAAATCATTTCAATATAATTAAGAACACTCCCCATGTCTGGGTTGCAGCCCATACCAACTAAATTACATGATCTGCAGGTGGGAATCAACCAGGCATCAGTAGTTTTTAAAGATGCTCAAATGATTCCAATGGGCAACAAGTGTGGGAACCACTGAATAAGGCATTTCAGAAGCCTCCAAGGAGATATTTAAGAAAATGAAGGGGGGGAAAATTGCCTAAACTTCTTGTAAAGACAGACTTCTTTGCAAAAGGGATTACATTTTTCCACAGCACCAATCATTGTGAGGGAGAGAACTTGGCCATTTCTGACTCATCTGGCCTTGAAGCTTCACTAATTGAACTTAAGCCTATAAGCCAATCACTTGGTTAACTGGAATAATTTATCAAAAAAATTTAAAGTCATTTCATAAATAATCCAATTTCTTTCTCTCCATCTTCATCCCAATAATCTTTATAAATCTAGCCTGAGAAGGTAGGTTATACAAGTGCTGCTAGGTTTTCCAAAGCCTGCCCAAGGTATTACAGGTGTGCTGTTGTTTTAAAAGTAAGTAAGTATGTGCTGGGGGGTGGGGAGGCCAGGGCAAGGTCAATGGGGGGAAAAAGGGAGACACATGTGTTACTATTTGTAATACTTTAAACAATAAAATAAAATTTAAAAAAATAAAAATAAATAAATTGCACAAAAATAAATTTTAAAAAGTAACATTCTACCCTGACCTAACTTAAATTTCAGCTCCTTGCATATTCACTGCCTTCTTTCCAAGAAATTTGTTGGAGATACCACTTAACTTCCTAAACAATTGGTCTCCTAAATCAAACTGAAAAAAGAAAGGATTGAATCTTGCCTCTCATTACACTTGGACCCAATTTCCCCTTTACAGTGAATCTTACTGCACTGTTGAGAGAATTTTTTAAATGTCCCTCAATTGCATGTTTTCAAGTAGTACCATGACCTATTTTTCAGCCTACATCTTCTCTTGGGACTTTCTCTTTTAAATTAAAAACACTGCTTAAAATGTGTTATCAGAGCAACATTAATGTATTGAGTAAAGGCAGCCTTATCAGACAAGATAAACTGCTTTTCCTCAAAGATGCCATTTTTATTGCATTAAGGGTTGTTTGCTCAAAGTGATCTGAAGAAGTCACATGGGTTGACATCAAGTCCTCTTTCTCACCAAGGCAATTTCCTGCTTGATTTTAATACTCCAACTAACATAAGTACAGTAGTGGCTCCATGGAGAATAATAGAATAGGAAAGATTGAGCCATCTTTCTTTTTAATCCTTACCGGAGGATAATTTTCCGTTGATTTTTAGAGAGAGTAAAAGGGAGTGAGGGTGGGAAGAGAGAGAGAAACATCAATGTGGGAGAGACACATCGATTGGTTGCCTCCAACATGTGCACTGACCCAGGCCAGGGATCCAGCCTGCAACCCAGGTATGTGCTCTTGACTGACAATAAAACCCTTTGGTCTGGGGGTGGGGGTGGGGGTGGGGGTGGGGGTGGGCGAGGAGGATGACATTTAACCACTGGCCCTAACCGGCTAGGGGAGATTGAGCTGTCTTTAATATTTGTTTTTTATTTCCAAGAAATCTATTTGGGTAAGATGAATATTAGACATATATGCTAGTAAAGGTAAGTAAATCCACCATATGACAGAAAACATAATTCCTTCACTGCTAAGCAAAAAAAAAAAAAAAAAGAATGGTGAGTCATTTGTTCAAGACAGAGGCTCTTCTGGATATAGGTGTACACAGACTTCCAGCATTAAACTCCGTTAAGGACAACCAGTGAAAAACAAGCTGAGCGCACAGATTACCGCCCACCCCATGATGTAAAGTTTCCACACAGCAACATCTGGAGGCTGCACAGGCCAGATGACTTCAATATAAGGCTCAGAGGTGAGAAAGCATGCTTAGCCTTGGCTCTCTGTGAACACAGCTTGTTGCTGAACCAATTCACACTGCTTCTATTTCACAGTTCCATCGTCCCAACCAAGTGCCCTCATTTGGTTCTCCCAAGGCATGAAGCCCTTTTCCCACCAATGACCTTTTCTCAGGCCAGTCCTGCTGCCTTCACTGTGGGTCCCCAGACTCCTTGTCTGCTGGCTCCCTCTCATTAAAATAATCTCCCTTCCCAGCCTCCTCATTCCAGAGGAAGTCTCTGACTCGGCACCATGTTTATCTCTGAATCCTACCCCAGGGCTTGACATCTAACAGATATCTATTTGTGTAATTAATAAATGCTTCCTCCAAAAATTAATAAATGTTCCCTCCAGCTATAAAAGTACATACCACACCACTCCTTAAAGAGAATTTGA